TGTACAGATGTGTGGTGGCCATCGCTCCCTACTCCCAGTTCTGAGGGCCTCACAGGTGATAGGCAGTCTCTCTAAATAAGAGTTCCCACCCCATGGACCCAGTTTTTCTATTGAAAGGTCACTCTGAGGTCAAAGCTTACAGGAAAGAGGACGTGATTTGCGTTCACTCTGTGTGAGCCTCCCATTATCAGCTCTAGGCCAGTGCTACCTGGTGTCTGTCTTCACTCCTTAGCTGGTTTCAAACTCAGACTTCAGGAAAGGGAGTGATAGACACTCGCTTGACCACAACCTTTGTTCCATCTACAGTCTATTATGACCGACTTCCCCTCCACATTCCTGGAGACTGACGTCATTCCTTGATTTTTGGCCTAAGACATTCCCAGGACTTAGGATGTTTCTCTCCTCATGGGCTTACTCGGAGGCAGAGCCTAGGGCTTGTGTGAGGAACCCCAGCAAGCTGAAGAGGGAGAGGAATGTAGGTGATCAAATCTAGGACAGCCCCTAGACTCGTGGAGGACACAGATCTTTGGCTCCCAACAGTGTACTCCCGGGAGCAGGCTGCCTACTCCATGTTAGAGCTGTCGTGTCTCTGTGGGATGGGCTGGCCTTCACAGAGTCCTAGCACAAGATAAAAATACTAGGTTATGGGCTCACTATGGAGGCCTAGAGTTACATGTGACTGAGAGTTGCAGGGAACCTTTAAAGTAAGCTACAAGAGGAGCCAGGGCCAGCGATAGAGTTGGAGAGTGTGAAGCTACAGAAGTAGAAAAGAAACCAAACTGGTCTCAGGCTTGTCTTTAGGCCCTTGAGTCCCAGCACAACCTGAGATGCCTGACAGGTCTTTCTAGGCCTCCTATGCCCTCATGAGATTCTTCCAGCGATGTGCAGACTCTACAGCTCTTTTATGGGATGCTTTCTCCATTCGGGACCCAGGGAAAGAATGGCGGCTCAAGAGCAAAGCTGAGGGCTGTTCCCATCCCTACAAACACCTAGAGATGCTTTGCTGGCTCCCACAGAATCCCTATCCAACACAGCTCAGGGATTCATGCCTGCAAGTGCTCCTGTGTTCTCAGTCACCCAGATGAGACCACTCCTGGTTGTTCCCCGGAAATCTCTCTGATAAGAATGTGGCCAGCCTGCTGGCCCATGAGGAGCAGAAGCATCATTGAGTTCTCTGAGAGTTGCAGTCAGAAGGTTCTGGACTCACGATTCAACACCTTTCCCATCAAGCAGTTCCCTGGAAGCCCCATAGCACAGTAACCTGAGCCACACAGACATCCTCTGCCTCCTCCACACACACCTGCCACCATATACAGCCAGAGGGTATTCTCGGACCTAGTAGGGTAGGCAAGTGATTCAGGGTCAGGCTCGGAGTTCAAGGAAGGAATTTGGGTTGCAGGAAATGGAAGGGCCATATAAGCCTAACAATACCTTACAGGATTAGAACGAAGGGTGTAATCAAAACGAATCTGGTCATATCCCTTTGAAAGGTTCTCAAGTTATAACCATGGTAAAAGCCCTAGGACCCCCACTCTTCAAAACAAAGGAAAAGTTAAAGGAACATCTTAAGCTTTAGCCTCCTTCTGCTATTTCCTACTGGAAAGAGAATCCATGGGGCAAATCCGGCTGTGATGGTTAGCTTTATGTCAATTTGACACAAGCTACAGTGATTTGATGAGAAGAACTCTCAATTGAGAAAGTGCCTGTATAAGATTTGTCCATGGGCAAGTGTGTAAAAGCCTTATCCTGGTTGATGATTGATAAGGGAGGGCCCCGCCCACTGTGGGCAGGGCCCCTTCTTGGCCTATGGTCCTGGGTGCTGTAAAAGAAAGTCATCTGAGCAAATCAATAACAGCACTCCTCCATGGCCTTGGCAGCAGCTCCTACCTCCAGTTTCTACCCTGGCTTCACTTGGGGCTGGGCTGTGCTATAATTTTTTTTTATTATTATTTATTGAAAAAAATTTCCACCTCCTCCCTGCCTCCCATTTCCCTCTCCATGCTCCTACTTCTCTCTTCCTCCTCCTACTCCTCTCTCCCTCCCCTCATTCCTCTCCCCCTCCCCCCAGTCCATTCCCCCTCCCTCTCCAGTCTGAAGAGCAGTCCGGATTCCCTGCCCTGTGGGCAGTCCAAGGTCCTCCCCCCTCCATCCAGGTCCAGGAAGGTGAGCATCCAAACAGGCTAGGCTCCCACAAAGCCAGTTCATACAGTAGGATCAAAACCCAGTGCCATTGTCCTTGGCTTCTCATCAGCCCTCATTGTCTGCCATGTTCAGAGAGTCCAATTTTATCCCATGCTTATTCAGTCCAAGTCCAGCTGGCCTTGGTGAGCTCCCAATAGATCAGCCCCACTTACTCAGTGGGTGGGTGCACCCTTCGCGGTCCTGACTTCCTTGCTCATGTTCTCCCTCCTTCTGTTCCTCATTGTGGTATAAATTGTAAGTTTAAACAAACCCTTTTGTCTCCAACTTACTTTTGGTTATGGGGTTTATCATAGTAATAGAAAACCTAACTCAGGCACCATCTGAGATTTGGTTCCCACTTTACAGACCCCAAGGGAGCCCCCGATTGAAAGGCAAAAGAGAATTCCAGAGTTCATCTTGTCCATTCTCTGCCTTTAAACTTAAAGAAACAACAGCACAGGGGATGGGTCAGGGGAAAACAGGATGCCAGCAGAGCTGACCCTGGGGGCCCTGTCGCAGTCTGGCCTGGCTGGGGCTGACATTGTGCTGTATGGGACACGTGTGGTCTGAGCTGAGTCCAGATGAATTGGAACGAGAGAGCCTGAGCGAAGTAACGTGGGGACCAAGCAAATCAAAGGAAGCTGGTACTGAGCATTAAAAGCTGCCCTGGCCCTTTTAGACTGGCTGGGAGACAGCCCTAGCCCTGTGCAGTTTCTGGCCTCCTCCTCTCTATTCTCGGCCCTGAACTTGCCTCTGACTTGAAAGGGCTAATTAAAGCCAAAAAAGAAAAAAAAATCAAAAGCTTGTTATCTGGCTCCATTACTCTCCATCCTGCATTGGTCTGTCTCTCAGTGCTGTGCTCCCTCTGTTCTCTCAGAGGATACCATGCGGTGTTAGGGCCTACTGCTCGACAGGCCCCGTGCTGAGCTTGGCTTTTGTATTACTGCAGGAGCAAGAGCAGGGTAGATACCTGTTCGTGCTGCCAGGTGGACTGTTATTCCCAAAAGCCAAGCCCAAAACAATTTTGGGTGTGTTTCCTATAGGAAACTGTCAGACATTGCTAAACCCTCTGATCTCTGGAGAACTACCTGCTGAGGAAGCAAGCATGGCTTCCATGTCAACCACTGGCATGATCAATTATGCACATGGGTGTGTAAGGGCATCGGTGGAGACATTTATTGCATGTATTCAAGTGTGTCGGGGTACTCAAACGTAACACGAAGATTTAACCAAGGTGCCATGGATTAAAGTTAACCCCCTCCCACTTGCAGATTTAGATTCAATAGCCTGTTAACTGTAGTAAGTGGTTCTGGGATAATGGGGCTGGGAAGGAGGTTAGTGGCTAAAGAACTTGTAATACAAGTGTGAGCCCTGAGTTTAGGTCCACAGAAGCCCATTTAAACACTGAATGGGCATGCACACCCACTTTGGAAGGCTGAAACAGGGGGATCCCCTGAGTGAGCTGGCTCTGTCTCAAAGAATAGGCTGGAAGAATAATTGAGAATGTTTACCACATCAGCCTGGGGGCTACACATACATTGTATCCGCACACTTATGCCCATCCTCCACAAAACACTAAAAAGAAAATAAGGTAGAATATTTAAGAGGTGGTTAATGAGAGGATTCATTTTTGTTTTATTTTGTTTTGTTTTGTTTTGAGACAGGTTTCTCTGTGTAGCACTGGATGTCCTGGCACTCACTCTGTAGACCATGCTGGCCTACAGAGAGAACACAGAGAGTTACGTGTTTCTGCCTCCTGGGTGCTGGGGTTAAAGGTGTGCATCACCACTCCCAGCTTGAATCAATTACTTTACTGTGGGTTAAGGATGCGACCAGTCATCTCTTACTCTCTTTCTCTTGCCTTCCCTTCATCCTCTTGTTCTGCTATGATACAGGGTCCTCAACAAATTCAAATATTTGATTGTAGACTATGGCAACCTCCGGAACTATGTGAAATAAATTTCTGCTCATGATTGGTGGCCCAGACTTGGTGCTCCACTATAGAACTATGAGGGTTCTCTAATAGTCTTCTCTATACTTGTCTTCTACTGCTTCCCCCCACTGGCCTATGTTTAAGTGTGTAATACACACACACACACACAAAGAGCATGGCACACACAGCACAAATATAGTTCACCACTGACTCCCTACATTTAGGAACTGTTCAAAATCCCCCAGATTCTTAACAGTCCTGTAGGCCCTCTTGACGACCCAAATGGATGGCTCCAGGATACTTGCTTTGCATTCTCTTCCTGAAAGACTGTAATCTGCAAGTGGAAATAAACCCTTTCCTCCCCAAGTTGCTTTTAGTTGTGGTCTTGGTCATAGTCATCGAAACCTTGCTATAAGACAGACGCCTCTTCCACGGTGCTATAAACACAGAGATATTTAATCCCCCTCTACTCTCATTTGTCATTCATAAAGATAGGCTTGGAGCTAAAATAAAACCACAATTCTCTGAAATCCCATGTCCACCTCTAATGAAACATGACTTCTCATGTGATCACTTTCCTTTCCTGAATCTTCCATTGTTTTCTCTAAGCTGCTCCACCGGGCCCAAATGCAAAGAACATCAAGTGTACATGTTTCCTTCTACCCATTCCCAGTCCTGGTTCTCAAAGACAGCAAGGGGAAAGAGAACAGAACCAGGCACCAATAGGAAACCTACAGTTTAGCTCTTCTGGACTCTTTCAAACCAAGGATGTTCGGCTGGTGATAGCTCAAATCAATAAGACCCAAGATGGAGACTATAATGCTGGGGTCCTTATTGACCACACCCCACTGTCCAGGCCCATAGCATAAGATCCCCTCCGACTCACCGCGCTGCTGCAAGGGATGTCCTTCACCTTGAGCCAGGCCAGGTCCAGTGTTCCCTCGCCTCGGTAACAGGACTGCAGGCGCTCCTTGATGCGGTCGTTGATCTGTTTCAAGATGAAGATACACAGGGCCGACTCATCCAGAGATTTCATCTTCCGCTTCTGGCCCTTGGAGAAGACAGTGAAGAGGAGGTCAGCATCCGGACGGACTCCCAGGGTCCGGCCCAGCACAGCACCAGCCTTAGACAGGTAGGCAGCCTGCAGCAAGCGATACTCCACCCCATTGCGCTCACAGCCAATGGGCACCTCCACGTAGGAGTTGAAGGCTGTGTCCTCTTTGCAAAGCCTCACAAGCTTGGACGTGTACACTTGCTCCTTTGTCGTGGAGCCCGGGGGAGACACCATCTCTGGCTGAAGGGTCAAAAAGTAGACAAAGTTGCCACTGCTGAAACCATAGACGTAGTAGATATCAAAATCGGGGATGACAGTGAAGGTGTCGGAAGGGATCTTGATCATAGAGGCCACAAATTCGTCATGGAAAACAAAAGCAAACATGCCATCTGCCTCGGAGTTCTTAGTCAGCTTGCGGCTAGAGATGGTAGGAAAATATTCAGGCTTGCCATCCACTGCGGTGGCAATAAAGAGTTTATCATCCAAATTGCTGTAGGAGACAATCACCCCAAAGACCGAGCCACTCTCGTTAACCCCCGAGAGGTAGTGTTCCTTCTTGTGGAAGGGCTCTCCCAACTTGAAGAGGTCCTCCAGCCTGAGGAGCTTGCAGATACCCTGGTACAAGCTCCCACATGCAATCAGCCTGTTTTCCTTGTAGTCTATAAGCAGCATTTTGTTAACATTATTGGTGCTGGCCAGGGGTTCATTGCAGGTCTGAACAATACGAGGTGGGTAACACTTGGGGTTGTCTTCATCTGGCCCTGTCTGATGAGTCACCAAGACCTTGAGGTCACTCGAGAGCTTGTAGATCCTGTTGACAGCCCCCAAGTAAATGTGTCCTGTCCTCTCATCCACCACAAGGTGATTGAAGCCCTCAGTGGGCTCCCCTCGGAATGTGACGAATGACCGCTTCTGAGACAGCTGGGGGGGCTGCCGTGAAAGCAGAGTAGAAGAGCCCATCCCTACCACCAGGAGGTGGGACAACAGGCAAGTCCAGTTCCAAGGCATGGTTTTCATCTCAGAGCGAGGTCCTGTCCACACAGCAGCAACCAGCACAGGCGTCCCTCCGGAGGGCCAGGACTCAGCAGGGCAGTCTCCCCTAGGAAAGAGAAAAGGTTAAAAACGTGAGCGGACTGTGACAGGGCTCCGTGGTGCCGACAGATCTTCTGAATTTAGTACAAACATGGAACCAGCGTGTTTCGGGAAAGCCAGAGGCCAGTGGTTCCAGACCCCGGGGTAGGTGCATGAGATGGTTATCTTGGTGGTGGCAGTCCTCTTGGTGGTGGCAGTCCTCTTGGTGGTGGCAGTCCTAGTATACCTTATCAATAATAATGATGGGTGATAATGGTGATGAGGATGGTAGCGCTGATGCTGATAAGAAACAACACTGCCTACTGAGTGTCTGGTTTTACACCATTCCCTGGCCAGCACCTCTGGATACTGTCTCATTTCATTTTAGTAACCCTTCTGTGGTGAGTATCTTCCAACTGCCCTTCTAGAGCTAAGGTCTACATTTACCTGTGATCACAGAGTTGACACATGTGGACCCTATGTCAGTGGGTTGCCTGGTACTGGTCCCAAGTTAGGGATTCCAAGGAACAGCATCAATAAAAGCTAGAGGAGGAGCCATCTGCATCTGCACTGGGTTCTTCCTCTGCCTCTCTGTCTCCCTGTGCAGTGGACCATCCCCTGCCTACTTCATCAGGCCTAAGAGAGCAACCGTGATCTCATTGTTACTAATTAAGGGCAGCCCTAAGCCAGGCTGTGGTGGCGCACACTTTTAATCCCACACTCAGAAGACAAAAGCAGGAAGTTTTCTGTGAATTCGAGGCCAGCCTGGTCTACAGAGCTAGTTCCAGGACAGTCCGGACTAGAAAAACCCTGCCTTAAAAGAAAGAAGAAGAGGAAGAGGAAGAAAAAAACAGCACTATTCCCTGAAGAAACCAGTCTTTCATAAATATTCTTATTAATTTCTGCTCAAAAGACCAAATCTGCATATCTTGTTTCCTGCCAGAGCTTTAACTTCTGCCAACAGAAGCCTGTGGGCACTTTACACCACACTTTATGCTAAGGAATGTGATCTTAGGGGACTTTTGTGGCTTGTACCACCAAAAACGGGAAAGGTGGCTGAAGGAGTCCATAGTTGGCCTTAGCCGTCTCATTTGATCCCAGGCTCTCACAGCAAGGACTGGACTCCACCTCCTGTTGTCCACAACAGAATTGCTAAGCCACCCATTAAAACTGCTGTCCCTGGCCCGCTTTGCCCTTTGTACCTTCAGATGGTACAGGGAAATTGCAGTAAAAGCCTACATCCTCCATCCCTTCAAGTTGCAGTGGCCACCAGCCTACCCTGGGTACACTTCCCAGCTCTGGGATCTCCTATTATTTTAATGAGGTCTATCTTAGCTGCATCCTATGGTGGGGACCCCTCCGGCTCCTATGATTTTTCCTTTGAAAGGAGAGAAAGGGGGCTTTCAGAAACCAGGGTCCGACAAACAAACAAACAAACAAATAATCATCTCCAGGGCACAAAATTGCCATCCATCCTAGCTGTTGCCTTCATTTCTATTCAATACACTTTCTACATGTGTTTCTGGGGGACAGCACCACATTTCTCCCAGCTTGGCTGACATAAGGGCCAGAATCACCAATATCTTATTTAGGGGCATCTCAGCTTTCCCCTCAGCTCCTGAAAAAAAAACAATGAGGTTATGGGATGAAGTAAATTGTTAAAGTCATAGAAGTCACCCCAGCAGGAAGAAAGGACAGGTCAGCTGGATACCCAGAGAAGAAGAAGAAAATAATAAAGCTTTACATTGTCAGTCAACATCCTAAGAAAAAGCACCTCAAGGAGACATGAGAGAAAGAAGCCTCTAGCCGATGGGAACACTACCCTAACGGCAGTCCTGTAAATAAAGGGCCTCTGTTTATCTACCGACCAGTTCAAGAGTGTACTCGGTGCATATGCAACACAGGCAAGATATTGTAGGACTCTTGGGCCTGCTGTCAACTTGCTGCCCATCCGGGTGACAACCACTAGAACTTACTTAGTGCGTGAGATGTGTGACATATGACAGCACGCTTTAGGCATTCTTACTTGAGGAGAAGAAACAAGGATTTCAGAAACCTTGTTGGCATCAGAGCTGAGCCCAGCATTGAACTTGGAGAAGACACGCAAAGCTGGAAGAACAGTGCCTTCTTGAGAGAGTATCCACAATGGAAGCGGCCAAGCAGGGTGTGGATGAGGAAGCTTCAGCACAGAGAACACAGCTCAGGAAAGAACCGGGAAGAGGGTATGGCAGAAGAGAGAAAGCTATGAGCCCTGGAAGGATATCACTGAGAAGCCAAGACTAAAATGCATAGAGCCGGGGAAAGAGGACAAACTTTAGTAAAAGCTAAGAGAAATCCCCCACCCTCCTTTGCTGGAGGAGTGATTGGAGCTAATTGGTGAGTTCCAGGAGCCAAATAGGTTCTGACCTAAACAGAGTGCATCCATACCACCAAAGCCCTGCCCAGCACCCAGTGGAGGCTCAACAACTATTTCTTGACTGGCGGAAAGAGGGGCCAGACGCAGACAGGAACAGCAATGTTTGTGCAGCCCTGGCTATATCCCAGGTACCATGGAAGGTAAATGCTTTCCTCTGTATTAGCTCATAGGATCAGCATGGCTGTCCCTGAAACAAGATGGCTTTACCTAGTCTGCAGATGAAGTAGTGAGTCCTTCAAAGATATGTGGCCAATGAGGGGCAGAGTTAGGGATAAGATCCAGGTCTATACCACTGCAAAGTCCATATACTTTCTAGAAATGCATCTTCCAGGACCCAGAATATGGAGTCCTTGAAATTTAATTTAGTAAGTCCCAAACACAGTGGTCCCAGGATGTCACCTATCAAACCAAGAGAAATGGAAGTTCCTGTGATAGGCAGGGCACTCCTTCCTGCTCTTAAAACAGTAGGAATCTCAGGACAAGCGATGAGGTGAAGACAGTTCCTCTTGAACTATCTTTCCAATTCCAAGGAGCAGAGAAGATCCTAAAAATTTGCTTTCTCAACTAGGCAATCTGATTTAATGTTGCTCACATCCCTGATTTCAGAGGCAATGGCGGTGATATCGGAAGGGGCCAGGTGGGATGAGAGATAAAGATGAAGGTGGGTGGAGCTAGCCCAGTTGGTAAAGTACTTGCCACGCACACATGAGAACTTGAATTTGATCCCTGAACACCACGTTGGAAAGCCAAGCGTGCCAGCATCTGTTTATAATCCCAGTCCTGGGGAGGGGAAGACGGGCAAATTCCCAAAACTCCTCGGCCGGCCAGCTTGATACAATCAATGAGTTCTAGTCTAGCGAGAGACTCCATCTCAAAAAAATACTACTAAGGAAGGATCCCAAGGCTGAGCTCTCATCTCTACATGTATGTGCAGAGATACACATGCACTAGAACATGTATGTATACCCACGCCCACCCATGTACACAAACACAATCAATCAATCAATCAGTAACAAAATAGAACTAAAAGATGGCACTGAGGGACAGCACAGACCACTGATTCCCCTTTGGTACTCTTTCTACCGCATTTGGCCTCTTCTACCCCCAACATCTGCTCCCCAGGCTTAGAAAGTGGCAGCTATTCGGGCACCATATGCTCTGCTGGCTAACAGGGCTCTCACTGCTGCTCTGCCAACAGCCAAATTCCAGAGGGACTGGTATACTCGCTGGAAGACATAGGCAGGTTGGGGCACAGCCGCCAGTCCTTTGGGAGGGAGCGCTCAGCAGACCCTGTATCAGAGCATGCCACGTGCCTGACATTTGGCTCACCTTACTGTACACACTCACAGGCCCACAGCCAATCCACAGCTCCCTAGTCTGCTCCAGGCGAGACAAAGAGGGCCATGATCATGATTTTCCTGGGCAGGCAGGGGCCACAGTTCACTCGCCATCTTCTATGGGTACCGAAATGAAACACAGTTATGCATCTCAAACACTTACCACTCTCATCTGGGGATGGTGAAATCACTGCTCCTGGAGGAGCAGGGGAGCACACGGAAATGGAAACACATGCTGGGTATAAATGGCCTCTCTTTTTCCCCCCCGAAAAAATGATTGATTAGGAAACAAAGAGAAATGGAAAAGGAAGCAGTTTGGACAAGCACGTGGGCACCAGCTGGCTCAATGAAGACCCCACTGTGGGGCTGGCTAATGCCAGTCTCCCCACCCCAGCTCAAAAGGGCAGAGTCACTAGCCCCCTCTTGCCCAAGGTCATCTAAGGTTATTCTGACCTCATGAAACTGCAAATTTGGAACTTCCAAAGGATGGAAGTGTCTATGTCCGGGCATCAACCCATATAAGTACTGTCTTTAGCCCAGGAATGCCTTACCCCAATTTTTGATCCATCTATCACTTCTTACTCAAATATCCATTTGGGTGATTTTAAAATAAAAAAAAATACAAGCAAATCACTCCCAAGGTTCCCAAAGAGTTTCCTGAACCAGGCAGGGTGAGCAGGACAGAGGACAGGACACCCACAGACCAAATCAAACCTAAACACCCTGTCACCTCCCCTTCATGAAATCAGACTTTAATTCTGAGTAGTCTCGGGGGAGAGGGAACTCATTTTTAGAAGCTGATCATCATTTTGATTAAAGCAGTTGGTACTGCCTTTGTTTTACATGGCAAGTTTTGAAGAGCTCAAACTAATTTTCATGAAGTGCTACCGTCCTCTCAGATTCCTGAGTGGCAGAAAGAAAGTTATTACAGAGTGGTTTAAAATAGCAATTAGCTCACCAAATTCCTTCACAGTTTGTGCGTTGTCTTCGTGTACATTACCTCGTTCTGACCTTATTGTTCACTGTGACTCTCGGGCTCTCACTGAATGTGATCTCAGAGTGTTACAGAATAAGAATGGCTGAGGCCATCTCGTAACCCAAGGGGCACATACAAAGAAGATGAAGGCTCTTCTTTGTATGTCATAAGAGAACAGAAATAATCAGAGGTGCCCGAATCCCTGCACAGATAATACATGAGCCAAAAGTTGTCCCCTTTCCATAAGCTAGCTCAGGTTCAGTTTTCTGGAATCATTAATGAAATAAGTTCGTTTTCTA